GCTGGCCAAGTTTCTACGATCGTGGTGAAGTTTCTACGTCTCAAAAGGTGGCATAGAAAATACGATACCGATCGAAAACTGAATTTATATTCATAATGTTAAAAAGCCTGTAACTCGGTGATCCACGTCGTTATATAAAAGTCAGTCAAGTTACAGTTTATATATATCATCATAAACTAGGTTATCTAAAACTGGATGTATGGAAAAGAAACTCTAATTGAAAATATTCTTAAGCTGAAAATTTATCTAAAACAAATAATATGTTATCAAAGAAATGGTTTTCAATAAATGAATGTGAAAAAGACACGTAATTCGATCGTTTTTACAATTGTCTAATCTTATTCATATCACAATAGTGACATCCATATCAAAATAAAATCTTCAAAATTATGTTCAATAACTATGTAGAAATTATATCTGACTATTTTATTAATAAATATTAAAATATTTCTTGAATTAATTCCTAATTCATTATCAATTATCAAAATCGGCAATTAAACGCGATTTATCATTCCGATTTATCAGTGATTTTTGAAAAATCGCTTCTTTTCCCATAATCGCGATAAAATCTGATTTAATCATCGATTTTCTATCAAATTACGATTAATCGTTGTTTTATGCCGATATTTTTCAAAGTCGGCAAAATCGCGGCGATTTTTGGGACATGGGGAGGAACATTTTAACCTATTTATTCATATATTTACAAAAACTTCATTTTGTAGCGTAGTTACCTTTATACGGCGCGTCCAGCTAACTCTGCTACCGGAAGGATGAGTGTGTTACCGTTTTCATACTCTTTGTTCTTCTTATAACTTTTGAATGATTCGTCGTGCAAACGTGGCGGACATCTTATTTTGTACATCAAACTGTGCCATGCCAAAAACCTATGTAGCTTTGTGGTGAAAACATTGGTTTTATCCCTTATAAAAGAAGTACGCAAAGCCCTAATAAACATTTTATAATGCGTTGGGGCTTTGGGTACGTCTTTTATAATGGATACAAACAATGTTTTCATCACAAAGCTACATAGGTTTTTGGCATGGCACAGTTTGATGTACAAAATAAGATGTCCGCCACGTTTGCACGACGAATCATTCAAAAGTTATAAGAAGAACAAAAAGTATGAAAACGGTAACGCACTCACCCTTCCGGTAGCAGAGTTAGGTGGACAGGCCGAGTGGTACCCTTGGGTGCTCAAGTACTATACTGCAGGGCAACCTCGGGCCCTCAACGGCTATACTATAGGGGTACCCTTGGATGCTCAAGTACTACTTTGTAGGGGTACCCTCGAGTCCTCAACTGCTATACTATAGAAGTATCCTTGGGTCCGCCCAACCGCTATACTATAGGGGTACCCTTGGGTCCTCAAGTACTATACTATAGGAGCACTCTTGAGTTCTCAATTAGTATCTACGGGGGCACCCTTGAGCCCTCAACTGCTATACTAAAGAGGCACTCTTATTGGGTCTTCAAGTACTATACTATGTTATATATGTTATATATAGTTATATAAAAAATAACATGGTGCAGATCTTACACGTCCATTTTAATTTTAATTAACATATTGGTATATATAACCTGTGTTTTTCTAGAGGATGCGGGTGTTGCGGGTCTTTGCGCGTCTAGCTGAACTAAAATTTGTGTATAGGTCTATATATACCCTATGCTTTTTTTAAACGATGCGGGTCTTGCGGGTCTTTGCGGGGCTAGTTAAGTTTTACTATATATTTATACATATCTATGTATAAATTAAAATTCAGCTAGACTCGCAAGACCCGTATTTCATTTTGAATTCAAGTGTCTTCTTTTTTTAAAGTTCAGACTGAATTTAAATAGATCATTGTATACCACTGCTATACTATACGGTTACTCTTGGGTCTTCAAGTACTATACTATGGGGGTATCCTTGGGTTTTCAATTGTTATACTACAGGGATACCCTTTTGTCCTCAATTAGTATACTACGGGAATACCCTTAAATCCTCAATTGCTACACTATAAGAGTATCGTTGGGTCCTCAACTGCTATACTACGGGGGAAATCTCAGGTCGCGAAGTACTGTGCTATGGCAGTAATCTGTGTGCACTTTTCCTTTTTGCGAATAATATGGCACAAACGAACATTTTTTGTACAAATGCTCACGTAACTATAGCACAAGTGACAAGGCAACCATGGCATAAATGGCCATGTTGGTGTTGCACAAGCAACTACTTCTTGAGTCCACCACGGCGTAACTACGGCACTATTGACCATTTGGGTAAATATGATACAAATGACCATACGGCACCTATAGTACAAATCGGTATATGATGTATAGTAAATTTTTGAGAAGTCTCAAAAATTTACTATACTGACTCTAAAAACTGCCGCAGAAAATATAGTATTAATGTATAATAATCTCTGTGATACTGTTGTTGTTTATCTGTACAATTAAAAACCGGTTTCCAGCGCTAACCGATCTCTATGTGATACTTTAGCTGATTCGACGCACTTCAGTTGCATTCTATATCTGCTCTGCTCAATAGAGTTATCTGTTCTGATTCAAAGAAAACTAAAGCGTATAAGAAAATGTTGAAAAATAACGAAGAATTTTATTATAAGAAAGAAAAATACTCATACTTATTGTTGTCGTTTTCTATTGTCGTTTCCGAACCATCGAATAAGAAAAAAAACGGAAAAAAGACTATCGACGAATAATGTACTTCTCTCCAATAGTGTGTGATAATACACTTGTCGCAGAATGACCAGATGAAAGAGATTGGGGGAGGGAGAGACTTTTGCCCACGGGTGTATGTAACAGAATGTTCTCTATCGATTGAGCGTATTGAAGCTAAAAAGTGTTGGGGTCGCCACACCCCCCCTTTAGACATTCTTGTGATAAATCGAGTTTTCATAAAAATCGTTCCCAAGGGGTAATCTGAAGCGGAGAGTTCGAATAGGAGCTGATTTGCCTCGGAACCCCATTGGTGGACCAGTAGCCAATAGAAATCGTGTTTTGGAAACGACAATCTACGTAAAGTAATATGTCAGGGAAGTTCGATCTACTGTCGGCACCCTCCCCACTAGCACTCCACAAAAAAGGGGAAAGAGGAAGATTTCGAATAAGAATGAGAAGGAAAAGAGACGTATAGATTTTGTCTAGACAACGAACGATGTTGATCTGACGAAAAACTTCAAACTTCAACAAGTCTGATAAATCATTGTATAATACTCTAATATTGCTATATTAGAGTATTATATATCGATTATACCTACCTGAGTGCATATAGCCGGTCATCTATTTGTACCTGGGTATACATAGTCACTTCGTTTTTTAATTATAGAACATCTCTGCATCTTCTTTGTTGTGTCAATTTCTTGAATTGTACAAAGATTGGGATCGTGATTCAAAACAAGATATGCAACAGGCAATAGAGAACTACAAGAGAATGATGTATATTGCTGACAACATTGACCGTGGTTCAAAAGATGGTTTAGATTATCAAAAGCTCCAACAACTGTTTTCCCCACAAGAAAAACGAAGAAAGATACAATTAATAGGAATTCATTTGATGGATGACACAAAGCTCACATTTCAAGAAGTTTGTGAATATTGTAAACAAGCGGAAACGATATTCGGAGTGAGTTTTGAGCCTTCCGAGACGGCTATTTTTTTTGGCAGGACATATCATCATCCTTAGCATCATAATCCTCTTCTCAAGGGAGCATGCTTACTCTATTCAAGATCATGGCTAAAGGAATCATACAAGAAAGTGTGCAAAATATCAAATGCTAATTTTGACCGAAGATGTAGCATTTAATTTTAGTTAGAGTTCCGCGAAATCTTAACGGGCAAAAAGCACGAATCCGTACAGCCGAAAACCATGTGTTGAAGATTTATATCCAACAAGATGTTTTAGAGTTTAGTGGAGAAGTTTAGAAATGGCGGGTAATGACAGCGTACAGTCAGCCTGAAGGGCTTAGGAGGGGAAACCAGTAGCTAATAAGAGAAAAGTGATGTTTAAAGATTCGAAATATCCGAAATTCAGTGATCCAAGGGCATTAAGCCCGGTTTATTCGTACAGTGTTTCTTCTCACACAAATAGCTGAGTCATATTGCGCTGCGATAATGTGAACTTATGGGGTGGGAAAAGAAACGCACATCTACAGGGACACTGATGATCTGTGCACGGTCAATCGCGTTGCTTGTACAATAAAGTGACACAGAGTATTCAGAGCGAGTGCTGTATTTCGAGATAAATTTTTTAAAGAACTATTCGGCTACTTTCATTCTTAGGGGATCAAGCAGGAACCGATCTATTCCGATGAACAGTTTGTCAAATATCTAATCAATTGTGATATTTACACTCAAAAAATGGCAGTTAATGGAACAAAATATGAAGAAGCAATGGAAAGCTTGAAATGTCTTTTAGCTTATGTATTGAGAATAATTGAAGCAAATGCAAAATTGCGGCGATGTTTTGAAGGTTTCATTGCTCGAAAATATGTGTGGATAAAACATCAAATTGAAACGATCGCACACAAACAAGATGATGAGCACGCTGATTGTACACAGCTAAAAGAGTATTTAGAAAAAATGGAAGCAATAAGAAAGATAAGTTAAGTTCCTGATAGTTCGCGATGTTTTAAGTGAGAATAAGGCCAAAACAACTAAAAACAGATGATGTAAAAGCGTGAAAAAATCCTGTCCAGTCTAGCAGGCTTCAATTGATTTTAACAGAAGATAGGGAGCAGAAATGCACAATCTACAGCAAATGAAAGAAATTTTTAAGAATAGAGAACGTGAAGAACCCCATAATAGTCGCGATTTTCAGACAAAAAGGTTTTGGGAGATAATACTATCGCCATAGCTGATATAGCCAGCTTTCTGCAACATTACGGGTAACCCACCCCCTCTTTTTCATCATGTCTGGATCTCAGCAAGCGTGTAACCGATCGGGCTGAAATTTTTAGCACAGATGGAACATCGAAAATGACGAGACCCATGTTTAAGAAAAAAGTTTTTAAGACGATCTTCAGGGGTTTTTGGAGGGATCTTTTGTTTTCATCCCGCCAGCTTACGACCTCCGTTGAGTTTTGTCCGCTCGGGCTGAAAATTTTTTTCGGGGTAGGTAAGACACTTCCCCAGAGGTAAAATGAACAGTTTTAAAAAATATTAATGCGTTCACCTTTTATCGCAAAAATACTGGAATCTATGGTTGAAAAATCGCTCTTCAAGGTAGAGCTTCCAGTATTTTTGCGATAAAAGGCGAACGCATTAATATTTTTTTAAACTCTTCATTTTACGATGCTTTATCTGTGGTAAAAATTTCAGCCCGATCGGTTGCACGCTTGCTGAGATCCAGACATGGTCAAAAAGAGAAGGGGCGGGTACCCTTAAGCCGTCAATAGTTTTTCAATACAATTTCCACTCGAAACCTAGTGGTCCCTGACGAAATTTTTAACGAAAAAAATTTTTTCCTCGCGCATCAGGATTTGTACCACTGTTGTACTTTGTATAGTAGCAACTATGCTTCCGAAATGGAAAACAAACACAACAGACTTATGCTGTCGTTCTAATTCATTGTCCTAGATGCAGAATTTAGTTCTGCGTCTACTGATGCCATATTCACATGGCCTCAAATTGGGCGAAAGATGATCCACGTCACATGTAGGGGTGTCGCACTTACTTTTCTCCGAAGTGTTTAGTTTTTGGCTTACTTCATGGTTTTTTGCGCTCACGAGACAAACGAACTAATGCATCGTGTAGATCTCCGTGCGCTCTACACCTTTTTTCCCGCTCGTCGTGCGTTTGTAGGCTGAACACTTGATATTTCTATATTGTAGGTCAACAATGGTCATGGCTCCTCTTTCGATCGTGTAACATGAATTATCGCGCGAGAAACTCTTTATCGAACGATCTATCTATCGTACTGGCTAGCTGATCATAGGATCCTCGTTGTGGAATAAGCCACCCAGTTTTCACCGCTTTCCACACACTATTGCTAATGTCAACCGTTCCTAGGACACATTTCTCACCACTTCGTATATATGAAACTGTAGCGCGAGAAACTCTCTATCGAATGGTATATCTATCGTAGTGGCTAGCTGAGAAGCGTTGATCACAGGATCCTCATTGTGGAATAAGCAACCCAGTTTTCACGAGTTTCCAGACAGTATTTCTAATGTCAAGGTGCCTTAGGACACTTATTTCATTACATCGTATATATCAAATTGTAGAGCGAGAAACTCGCTATCGAATGGTTTATCTATCGTAGTGGCTAGCTGACAAGCGTTGATCATAGGATCTTCATTTTGGAACAAGCCACCCAGTTTTCACGAGTTTGCATAAAGTATTTCTAATGTCAAGGTGCCTTAGGACACTTTTTTCATTACATCGTACATATGAAATTGTAGAGTCAGAAACTCGCTATCGAATGGTATATCTAGCGTAGTGGCTAACTGAGAAGCGTTGATCAGAGGATCCTCATTGTGCAATAAGCCACCCAGTTTTCACGAGTTTCCAGACAGTATTTCTAATGCCACGGATCCTAGGACACTTTTCTCACTACTTCGTATAAATACACATATCGATGCATCTGTTTGAAAGACTAGATCAACTGCTTCCAGTGCTCTAGTTCCCCATCCCTGGACGTTGTAACATAATACATGCAGTGGGATTTGTTTCGATGAAAAGTCTGTTTGCGCATATAATTCCCACTGATTCAAAATTCCATTTAAAGTGCCGGCCATATACCATTCATCAATAACTGCTTCTACCATTTCTTCGAATTTAGCTGAGAACCCCCAAGATTTAAGACGATTGAAAGCCACTTCTTTCTTATTTAACTAAGCCAATGGATGAAAGGGACTTGCGTTTGGATTTAAAGTAAAATGATATTCTGCGAGAGTTTTGCTCCTGAGTTGTTTGCTGTTGTGGCTGTAGCTGTGGTCGTT